TTATTACCCATACTTCTCGCATTTGTATATAGGCATCTAAGATACTGATTTGCCCTTGCCTCCCAGTTTTACCCTGACTCTCCGTTCTCTCTGCCATTATAGCCCATGCTCCCTCCCATTTCTGATCCATCTCCCAGGTCTCCATGTTCTCCACTTACCTGTGGGCTTTGCTTACCTGTCCCCATCGAATCTAGTTTAAAGCCTTCCTCACTAGGTTAGCCAGTCTGTGTCCAAATAGGGTCTTCCCCCTCCTCGAAAGGTGAATGCCATCTCTGCCTAGCAGTCCTTCCTGGAATAGCATCTCGTGGTCGAGGAAGCCCTCCTGGCGACACCATCTTCGCAGCCAGGCATTTACCTTCAGGATGCACCTGTCTCTGCCCAGGCTTCTACCTTCGACAGGAAGGATCGAAGAGAATACCACCTGCACTCCAAACTCCTTCACCTGTACTCCCAGAGCCCTGTAGTCACTCTTGATCCACTCAGTGTCACACCTCCCAGTATCATTTGTGCCCACATGGATAAGTAGCATGGGGTAGTAGTCAGAGGGCTGGATAATCCTTGACAATGCCTCCGTAACATCTCGGATATGGGCCCCCAGCAGACAGCATACCTCCCGAGATGAAATGTCAGGGCGACAGATGGGCGCCTCCGTCCCCCTCAGAAGAGAGTCTCCGACCACCACTACCCTACGTTTCCTATTCGCAGTGGTGGCAGCAGACCTCCCAGTCTTGGGGGTACGAGGCTTCTTCTTCTCTGTTTTAGGGGGTGATTCCTTATCTCCTGTATCAAGAAGAGCATAACGGTTTCCTAGTACCACGGCAGGAGAGCTCGGAGTTGGGGTGGAGCACTGCCTGCTGCCAGAAGTAACCAGCTGCTAGTGTCCATCCTGTGCTGTCTCCTCCAACAGCGGTGTGCCAGCAGTCCTGTGTTCTGGCACAGTTACCTCAGCTGCCTCCACATGAGCACTGTCCAGGAATTGCTCGTGGATTCGGATGCTTCTCAACCTGGCCACCTCCTCCTGTAGCTCTCCCACCTGCTGCCTGAGAGATTCTACCAGCAGGCACCTTTCACATTGGATGGTCCCCCCAGCCTGGATATCAATAAGTGGGAATTGCAAGCCACAGTCCCTTCAAAACCACACCAGGATCTGGGTAGAGGCATCCATGCTCAGGCACTCTATCTGGCTACAGGTGCAGGTAGAGGAGACAGAAGCAGTGCTGGCACAGGTGTTGCACATCTTCCTAACTATCATAGGCCTCCCTCTGTTAAACTCCCCTGTCTGCAGCCCCCTGTCTGTCTTGCTCCCCTGGTCGCTCTGCCTCTGGCTTTTAAAGCATGTTGCAGTCCAGTAAAGTAGAGGCATTATTCCTTTGCTTTGGTCCCTGAAATTATGGCAGCCCCTGAATATGACATTAAGAGGTGTTTTCCAATGAGGGGGCCTCTAAAAAGGAAGGGTGTGGATGCTCCCTGTATGAGCATCCTTTTAAAATTGTCCAAGCATTTCAACTGGCAGCAGTTGCTGGAATAACAAGAAAATCCTGCCTGTTGGCTAACAGGGAAGTGCCTCGTGTAACTACTGAAACGGTCAGAGGCTATTTAGAAGATTAATCATAGAGGGAAAATATTTATAACTACGACTCTTTGTTTCCTTATAATATTTATGGGCAACATATAGGAAAGGAGGAACACGACGGATAAATAATATCCCATATGTAAACACGATGGCTTCAGCAAGTATTTTTTTTATTTAACAATTAATATTGATGTTCATTAATATAAATTACCACATTTCAGACGATATTGATGTCCTTGAGGCCAGATGTCACTGGCTGATTTTCAGCTTCGTGGGGGGAAATATCCTGTTTTGTGAATTTAATTATTGTGCCACGTTATTTAAAATACAGTAGCTACTTTGGGCCAGATTAATTTCTGGTGAAGTTAAGTTTCATAGTTCAAGCATTTGCTTATTGTTCAGTTCCTATAGTTGAGAAACCCATTTCTAAGATGGATTAATATACATTCTCAGATAGAGAAAAGGAACAAAAAGGAGAAATGTGATTTATTGCACTTTCTTTTATGTAATTGTAGTTGACTTCATATGGTCCAAATTCTGCCCTTGAATGCTCATACACAACTTCCATGTAAGTAAAGTCTATAGATCTTATATTTAGAATGGTTGTTTGGTGGATAACATCCTTCACTCTTTGGATTGGCTTATGTCCTCAAATATGGACATCATATTACAGTGAAGTAGTATAAACAATTATTTGGGGAGACAGCAGCAGCAGCCTCTCCATAAAATTGTTGCTCTTTTGGAATTTTGTTGTTCCACTTACTGCCTATTATGCCAGCTACAGTAGGCAAATTGTATGCACATGTGCTTGAAGATGGAGCTAAACTGTTGGTTGGCTCTAGTCATCAGTTGATTCATTCCAAGTATTCTACCATATAAACCACAGGCCTTCATCCTAGGCTGTGTCCAGACTCTGGGGTTTTTTCGAAAAAAGTAGCCTTTTTTCGAAAAAAACTTCACCTGCATCTAGACTGCAGCCGCGTTCTTTCGAAATTAAATCGAAAGAATGCGGCTTTTCTTTCGACGGTGGTAAACCTAATTCCACGAGGAAGAACGCCTTCTTTCGAAAGTGCTCTTTCGAAAGAAGGCGTTCTTGAAAGCAAACAGGCTTTTTAGAAAGAGAGCATCCAGACTCACTGGGTGCTTTCTTTCGAAAAAGCGGCTTGCTTTTTCGAAATTCCGCGTGCAGTCTAGACGCGCTTTTTTGAAAGAGGGTCTTTCGAAAGTATCTTTCGAAAGAGGCTTGCAGTCTAGACATAGCCCTAGTGACTGAAGCTCAAAAAATATGCAGATCTGGAGTACAGCATGTTTAGAGTAGCTAGTAAAATCCTATAGTTCCTGCATTAAGGTTTTGACTCACAAAAAATCTCCCTTAAGTAACTTTTTTCAAGAGCTAAGCCTCTGTGACTCTGTAGGTATAATATGGCCCTACGGCATACCATTTAAAAATCTGCATTCGTCTTTATACAGATGAATGAATAAGGAATAGTTTCTAATTTGGCTATTATTTATTTATATACTAGCCAATTAGCCTCTCATAAGACGGGATTTTCAGGTCTCTCCTCCACGTCAGTTTTCTCTCCTGAGCTTCCGGTCTCTCTCTCTCTCTCTCTCTCTCTCTCTCTCCTCACCCTCCTCCTCCTATTGCCTCCCCCCCCTCAGCTCTCCTCCACCTCCTGCCTATCTCTCCGTCTCTCTCTGTCTCTTCTCCTCCCCCTCCTGCCTCTCACTTGGGGGACCACGGAGCCCAAACAGTC